CGCAAGGTCGTGAGTTCGGTTCCTGGTACCGGAGAAAAACCAAAAAAATAAAAAAATAAAAAAATAAAATAAAATAAAATAAAATAAAAAAGAAAACAATTCCATTATTTCTGTTCAGTACAGCTCTGTGTTTGTTTAAGAACAGAACACATCGAGGCATTTTGCAGGCTTAGGAACGGAACCCCTACAAGACCAAGAGAGGGAAGATATTAAAGGAACAAGTCCCAGGAGGAGGGCCAAGGACACCAGAGAAGGAAAGATTTGGTATGAAAATAAGGTTAGTATGAACAAGATAGAAATCTGACCAGATGAGGAAGCATCTAGGAGAACATTACAAATGTCCAGGGATGTCATGCATAGTGGCACCTGCCTATAATCTCAGTACTTGGGAGACTAAGTCAGGAGGATCACTGTGAGTTTGAGACCAGCCTGGACTACATAGTAAGTTCAAGTCCAGTGTTGTAGTTTGGGATTTACAAGGTAAACAATATAATACAGGACACATATTTTATAAGATTATTTATAGTAGTCACTCAAAGAATCATGTACAAAGAGAGTGAAGGAAATTTGTCCACACACTAAAAACCAAAGAATCCAGCTGAGGGCCTGGATCTCATGGTAATGTCCTGCATGAGTTCAGCTGAAGACTTAGAGCCCATAACAATGCCCGGCTCCATGAGTCCAACTTGAGGCCAAGAGCCCATGACAATGTCTCATGTAGGCCTGTTTATGGAGCCGCACTGGGAAAGCTCAAAGCTCAGTGGTAGAAGCTAGAAAGTCTATGCCAGCAGGACAAAGAATCTGTGTTCTAGCTGGCTGAAGTATCTGCACTGGAGCCAGGAAGCAATACTCAAAGTAAAGATCAGAGCTCCCCCAAAAATTTCCACAGCCATCATCAGCAACAGTGAGGTACTAAGCTCCTCCAAAGATGAGGACAGCTGAGTTCCCATCAGGAAAGCCAACATGACAAGCTTCTCCAGGAGACTGAGCAGGGTACCCTCTTCCCCTCCAGAGCTAGGAAGTGATGCCCAAGTGAAGGACCAGAGCTCCTCCAAAAAGTACCACAGCCATCCTCAGCGACAACGAGGTCCTGAGTTCCTCCAACAATGACAGCAGCTGAGTTCATCAGGAAAACCAGCAGGACAAGCTTCTCCAAGAGAACCAACAGCAACTCCAGGTAAACCAACAGCTCCTTACAGCTTCTAACAGCACCCAACACCTTCTACCAGCTCCCAACAGCCTCCCTCCTTCTTCTCCAGTTCTGCCTCTTATGCTGTCAGCAACAATACTCATGTGGGCCTCCCACAGCCAGCACCACACTGGTTCAATTCAGCTGAGTGTTATAAATTGACCACCAGTTATCAATCCACCACATCCAGCCTGAACTACATAGAGACCCTGTCTCAAACACACACACACACATGCACAGATGCACATACAATACAAATGTCCAAAAAATAAAGAGCCAGATGTGAAAAACAACATTAAATGGACATATCATCCTGCCAAGTCTAACAACATCTAGGCAGATCCCAAGATGACTCATGCTGCTGTTAAGAAAAGGCAACCCAAAAGTGGAAGACAAGCTGTTCACAAACCCCAGAGAAGTACCTAGTTGGCCACAGAGAGTAAAGAAAGCCTCTCCACACTATGACTGAAGCCAGCATTCCTATAATTGAAACAATTTCCACTTTCAGTTGAATAAACATTAAAAACTAGCAAATATTTGAGTAAAATGACCAGTAAAAGCATAAAGTCAGTAGAAGAATTAACTCCATGAAAACAATAAAATGCTTTAAAGTAATTATAATGAGTATTTCATAAAATATTTCAAGGGGAGTGACATCTGTAAAAATTAAGAATTCTAGGAAATCAAAGTTATGATTTATCCATGAACAGACAAACAAACCCCCACCTGAGAGATGGGCTGGATGGCAAAACAGTCCATCACTAAAGATCAACTTTATCAGCTGTAGTCTCAAGCCAACAATGTGTAAAGAGTTAAAGAATTTAAAAAGTATGAGAAATGTTAACTGGTTAATATACATGAAAGACAGATCCAGCAACACCAAGTTTAGAAATTTCAAAAGGAGAGGAGAAAGAGGGCAGAGGCCAGGAAATTCAAAACCAACAAGAGAAGAAAATTTGAAGATTTGAAGACATCAGTCATCAGTGTCAAGCCAGAGGAAGAAAGAGTACCCTGGACTCAGATATGGTGACACTTCCAAAGTCCAAAGATAAAACCCTAAAAGAAGGAATCACTGAAAACACATTCCTCTGAAGTAGCGACAAATCACAGAAAGAGAAAACATTAGGATAGAAAACATTGGTAAACAAAGAAATAAAATCATCTACAACAATAAGTAATTCTTAAAAAGGAGACACATAAAAATGAATAACTCAAATAAAAATTCTGATCATTGAGATGAGACACAGAAGATGTAAGAGAGGAGAGAAGTGCATGCTGAGCGGAGTGTGTAGACAGTGCAGGTATAGATGCTGCTTCTGTTCAGCATCAATCACAAAAAGTTTTAATACGTTTATTAATAAATTAATAAAGCAGAGCCTTCAAACTGTTAAAGGAAAGAAAGGAACCAACCCAATCAAGGCTGAAAAGAAAGGGAAAAAAAAAACAAAAGAACAAGAAAGCCATACCCAAAAAACATAAAACCGAAGACTTGGGTGAGATCAAACACATCAACAGTAACAATACATGTAAATGGGTTAAAGATTTAGATTAGATATTTAAAAGTTCATCCTGCAAACTAGTTACAAGAGCTCTCCTTAAAACAAAATGTTCCTAAAGGGAGTTGGGTTTGTAACTGAGCCAAAAGTTGCTTTAAGTTAAAATCCAGTTAGTCTCCTCAGGAACGTTGTGGTGGGGTGAGGCAGGGTGAAATGCACCTTAGACCCAGAGACAGGGAAACAGAAGGCAAAACCTGAGAATCCCTGGCATGGATTCCACCAGATGTAGTGACATTAAGAACCATCATCAGAGATTATTTACTACTTTGATTTTCTAGTAGAAGATGAATGGGTATTAATGAGTGCACCTCTGGTAGCAGATGACTTTGTTTCTACCATGACTTATTTTTATAGGACCTTAGAGCAAATCATCACTCACTGCAAGTTCTGCTTTCACCATCAGAAAATCCTTAGAGGAAGATGAACAAGCCACGGCTGCTGCTTGCCTTAGAAGTCTTACCATACACAAACAAGGTTGTTTTTAATGAATTCTATGGTGTGGGAACATTAGTGGACTAGTGGCATATTAGAATTTGTGTCAAAACAAGTGTGCTGTGCCAAGTGTTGTGCCAGGGTTATTCCCCAAACCAGCACTGAGATCCACTCATCCATGTAGCTGGGAATGCGCTATACAAGTCCAGTGGCAATTCAGACCAAACCCCTACAGGCAGAAGCAGCCGCCACACAAATAGCATGACCTGCAGACCTCTGAATCCTTTAAACCCAACTCCCTGTACTGGCAGTCACCAATTCACTTGGGCAGCACAGATTTACCCAGGTTTCTCCCAGCAAGTGATGTTCAATTTTCTTGAAGGGCTGTTGGAATGAGTGTGTATGTTTGGATTCATGTACATGTTAGTCAGATCTAAGGGGTGACTGTGTCTTTATGGAATGGCTCTGAGCCACTCTGGAGAGTCACTGTTAATGGTAACTTTGCAGCCACATCTTCAAGGCAGGAGTGAAAATCAGAACAGAGCCTGTGACTGACACTACCAGAAAGAGCCACAGGAAGATTCGATCAAGAACTTGAGCCACAAATTTCCAGTCTTGCACTACCTGTAAAAGAGAAAAAAAGATATCTTTTATTCATGATGATGTGCAAGTGCTCTAAATTCATTAAGGGATGGAATGATTCAGATTTACAGCACTTAAGTTTTCAAAGTGCAGCTAACTCCTACCACCTGGTCACCTACAGTACAGGTTCAGATTCTGTTCAGTTACTTTGTTGATCATGTCTCCAAAAAATACGTAAGTTGAGTGTATAGAAATACTCTCATCAACACTGAAGAAGTAAAATAGAATGATAGAATTACTTATGTATTTGTAAGCATTATTGATCAAAATGAGAAAAGTCTGATTTTTACATGTATGAAAACTAACATCTTACCTCAATGCTGCCTGATATCCATATGAAATTAACTACAAATTGATAAATGTAAGGGTCATTATGGCCAAATGTCCCAAGTCTTTTGCTCTTTTCCTCCACTCTACATGTGGATATTGCTGCCATAGGGCAGAGCGACAGGCATCACTGGGACTAGGGGCCACCAGGGAAAGGCAGGCACACAAGGGAGAGAGGAGAGCAAGAGCCTTTGTCAGGAAGGCAAGCTGGGGGTGAGGTCAGAGCAGGGACAAGCCAAAGGGCTGAGGAGGTTTGAGAGGGAAAGGTAGGACTCATATTTTAAGGAAAAATAAATGTCCCATTTATAAATGGCACCTACCGTGTGATGGTCCATATACCTTCACTAGAAACCTTTCCCTAGGTATCCCACTGGGGATTTAGCTCAGCGGCACAGCGCCATCACAGTGGGATCCTCTCTTGTGCATGGGCAGGCAGGGAAGCAGCCGTGACTGCAGGCTACTGGGGGCTCTGCAGGCCCCAGTTGGTGCAGGTGAGGGGTTACTAACATATTCTGACTTATGATAGTTTCCGTGTGTGGTGGAGTTGTGGTGGTAACCCCATCAGTAGTTGAGGACCCTCTGTGCATTGGAATTTTGTAACAGTGGAATGGAAGAGGTTATCAGGGGCTGGGGAATGGCTGGCATGGAGCCAGACTGTATTCTGTGCCTACAGAGTGTTAGAAACAAAACCTCTAGGAGAAACACACAAAGGAGCCACATCAAAGTGCTAAAAAAAAAAAAAAAGCCAACCCTAAATCATGGGATTACTGATGATTTTAATCTTTTTACCTACATTTTGATGAATTTTCCAAAATTACATGTGTTATTTTTATAATTAAATTAAAAAGATATCTTTTATTCATGATGATGTGCAAGTGCTCTAAATTTAAAAAAATTTTTAAATCTTTGCATTGGTGTTTTTAAAAAAATGTAACAACCACACTGAAATGCTCATTCTATAGCAACACTTTTCTGGTCCTTTTAAAACAAACCTACACTGACTGAAGACTGACGGACACTTAAGAGAGAAGACAGATGAGACAACTCTGCAGAGGCAAAATGCAAAAGGATGTTTCCAAAACAGTTCTTCCATAAGGGTATTTATGGAATCAGGCTATTGGCACTCATTTTCACTAATTTTAGAGTAAAATAACTGAACACTGGAGATTGGTGTAGAGATGTAACTTGTTATAAGCATATGACTTGGGTACCTGTACATGTGTTATATTCCGCCATGCATTCTTCAGCACACTCTTCAAGGAAGGTTTTTAAAGTATTATTTTGTTTTTTTTTTCTCTTTTTTTTGGGGGGGGGGTTCCAGTACCAGGAATCGAACTCACGACCTTGCTCTTGCCAGGCCGGCGCTGTGCCGCCGAACTAAATCCCCAACCCCTCAAGGAAGGTTTCTAAAAACAGGTCAGATTAAGTAACTTGTCTCCAAGCTACACACTAGAAGGATGGGACCTGAGCCCAGGACTGTTTTGACTTTGAAATCCACACTTTTTTTTGAGGTGAGATCTTGCTGGTTTCAAACTCATGAGCTTAAGTGATCCTCCTGCCTCAAGTGATCCTCCTGCCTCAGCCTCCTGAGTATCAAACTCATGTTTGGTTTCAAACTCATGCTGGTTTCAAACTCATGAGCTTAAGTGATCCTCCTGCCTCAAGTGATCCTCCTGCCTCAGCCTCCTGAGTATCAGGGACTACAGATGTAGGTCATTTTCTCAGCTTCACATTTTAAAAAAAGAATTTATAGGCTAAGTAACCAGGTCCTCTTGCCTCAACAAAAATCAGTTATAACAGAAAAGTTAACATTAGTTTTCAAATCTGATTTTTCTGGCCTTTTGCTTCTAAATACTGTGTAAGAAAATATCTGTAAGATCATGAAAATGAGAAAAATTGTCAGAGACCACGATAACCAACTGAAAAAGTATAATTGAAATATTTAAAATAGAATTGGGGAATTATAAAGAATAGCTCTTTGTCTGTAGTTGCTTTGCTTTTGCTCATTATATTTTTGTGAATTTCTTCCTGAAAAGTCATACTAAAGCCTCTATTGCATGTCAGCGTCTGTTTTAAAACTGGTACGTATACAGATGACAGCTGGTGATGTCACATTTTAAGTAATGATATAGCATTTTGTTGTAAATAAATGCCAGAATAGTTGTCTTTTGCGTCCTCACTGCCCACCCCACCACGAGTCCCACTTACCTGGCTGATAAAATGCTCTTTCCTCACGTGCCTTGAGATATACCGAATGGATTCAGCAGCCTTTTCCAAGAAAGCAACCAGAACCTTTTCTTCATTGCTAGTTTCCTTCTGTTTCTTTTTATCCAGAACTTTACCTTTCACTGTTGACTTATTCCTGTCTTTTCCTGGGAAAGAGTAACGATCCACATGGTCTTTCATACAAAGTAACTGAGGAAGTTTTTGCAGAAATAGCCTCTTCACCCAGGGCGCCATAGGATGGTATGTGGAGGAAGATCTGTGGTGGACATTAATTACAAAGACAGTAACAATAATTGACAGGGTAACAAAAATCATAATGAACAGCAGGTACTCTCCAATGAGAGGAATGACTTTGGAAGAAGACGGGATTATTTCTTCAATCACTAAAAGAAAAACTGTCAGCGAAACTAAGACAGATGTTGATAAGGAAAGTTTTTCTCCTTCATCAGAAGGTAAATAGAACACAAGAACTGTTAGAAAAGACAATCCCAGGCAGGGGATTATCAGAAACAGAGTGTAAAACAAAGGCAGCCGTCTCAGGACAAATGAATAAGTAATAAATGGGTATGAATATAAACCTTCTCTTCTGTTACCCTTCATCCCTTTTGCATTCAGTATTTCCCATTCTCCATTATCAAAGAAGTCTTTTCTGTCAACATTTTCATTTATTAAAATGAGGTCAACCATGGTACCATCATAAGTCCAGGATCCAAACTTCATTGAGCAGTTCTGCCGGTCAAATGGGAAAAATGTGACATCCATGGTGCATGAGCTTTTGTAGCTGGCAGGAGGAGTCCAAGTGACTGTTCCGTTGGCTTTCACTATGACCTTGGTCATAAGGGAGCCTTCAAAGTGTCCATCAGCACTGTCATGAAAGGGGTTTCACTTTAGTGGTTAGTTGAGCACTTAGTAGTTTCCAGTGTTTTTCCTACCACCATACTATTTGTATTTTGTCTTCTACAATGTCAAGCAACATTTTAGAAAGAATGAAATATTTGTTGCTTAAGGTTGTTAATATTTCTCTTTAATTATTTTGCCAAAATCAGACTTTCTATACCCTATATTAACCAATGTATTTTTCTTCTACAGTACTTACTTTTCAAAGAGAACAATGTCAGGAAGCCAGAGAGATTCTGATGGGACTTTAATGGAATGGATTCCACCATACTCATCAGGATTCCAGCATAATTTGTGATCTGTCCATTCCTGCATGAAATAAGTACACTGTCATTTTATTCTGAAAATCAGTATGTTATACCCTAGGCTTTTCAAATTTCTGTTAATTTACTAATCCACTGTTTTATTAAGAAAGAGAAATTCATCCAAGTTAGAAGAGTAACCTACCTGAGAGTCAGGGCACCTGGAAGGGTAGAACTTGAGCCCACTTGGCCTGCAATCCTGCCCAGCACACACCTTGCCTGTTCATCTGTTTGTATTTATTTCCAAAATCGCCACATCCACCACAGTGAAAAGGCTCAGCAGCAAATGCCACCAATTCTTATTCTCTCTCTCCCCCTTTCCCTATCCCTTCCTCTCTCTCTCTCTCTCTCTGTGTACTGGCAACTGAACTCAGGGGCACTCCACTCCTGAGCTACATCCCCACTCCTTTTGATTTTTAAGATAGATTCTCATGAAATCGCCCAAGTTTCCTTGAACTTGTTAATTTTGTGCCTCAGCCACCCAACAAGCTGGGATTACTGTTAGATTTCATACGCTTGTGCTTTTCTTCATAAGGAAAAAATTATTCAGCTTTTTGTATCATATATGTTTTACAGGGGCTGACAGATCCAGCTTAATAACTCTGACCATGTGTTGACCAGATTATGGAGGTTTCAAGGGTAATATCTGGATGACCTAGTCATAGCAGAAGTAGACTTTAAAGTTTTGGATTCAAAATCTTATGAAAGCTGACCTGAAAATAAAACTTGCATTGCCTTGTCCCTCCTGAGACTAGATGAGCAGTCATGTGGATGATAGCAAATGACATCTGAGGCATTAGGAGGACGTGCCCAGTGTGAGCTTCCTGGAGCCCAGTGATGCCAACTTTGTCATTAAAAAATCAAGAGTCAGCATCTGGCTGAGTTTCACTAAGTGATAAATACTGAAATATGTATGACACTGAAAAATGATGGAAGTGAAAATCCCAGAGAAGATATTTTCTATCTGAGACACTAGTCATGAGACTTGATTATTGAAAAACAAATTGCAAAGAGTATGGACCTTTAAAGAGTTAGAATCTAAGTAGTAAAAATGACTTAATGGAAAATCATTCATACAAAGACTGACAAATTAGAAACCAAACTAATAAAACATTTACCATGTTTAATAAGTACTTGCAGGCTTCTCTTTATTTTCTCTGTCAATTTTGAAAAGCAAATATAAGTTTCTTCCTAGGAATAGCATGTCTCCTGCTGAGAAGACTCACTGTCACCAGCAGATCTGAATCTCAGAAATGCAAAAGAAAACTCAAAGTCACATTTTTTGTTTGCTTCACATCCACTTGCAATAAAATTGACTTTTTGTGAACAGTTCCATATGTAAATAGTTGTACCATCACGCCCACCAGTATGATGCTTGTTTTAGACTTATCACCACAAAATCACTGATTTCTTTTCTGTTCCCAAAACTTTGCCTTCTCCAGGATGTCCTATAAGTGCAGGCATCTCACCTCATGCAGGCCATTGTTCTTGTCCCTCAGTAGGCACATGGCATCTTCGGGCATCAAGTCTGTCTGTTCACTGTTACCGGGGACTGTGCTCCACTGGGTAAGTGTACCACGGCTTATGCATTCATCAGGGAAGATACTTGAATTCTTCCAAGGTTTGGAATATTAGAAATAAAACCACAGCAAACATTTTCCATAGTTTTTTAAGTGAAATAAGTAAGTTCTTATTTCTTCTGGATAAATAATAGTAAGATAGATAGGTAATAGAATAGGTATATGTTTAACTTTACACAAAATTGCCAGTTTTCTGGAATAGCTAAATCACTCCATTCCTGCTAGAGTTCCAATTTCCAGAGTTCAAATTTTCTTTTTTTGGTCTTTTCCAGCACTTTTTTTTTCTGGTCTTTTTCAGCACTTAATATTGTTCTCATTAAAATTTTACCTATACTAGAATAGGTGTGACTTGGCCTCTCTTGGTAGCTTTAAATGTGCTCTTCCTAATGACTCATCAGAAGCCAGGCACAGTAGCACAAAATTTTATTCAGGAGTTTGAGCCTAGCAAGTTAAATCTTTTGCATATTCTTAGTTGCACTGTATTTTTTATGACTGAGTTTTGAAAACTTCTTTATACATTCTGGATAAAAGTTCTTTGTCAAATGTTTCATTTACAAACAGTTGTTCACAGTTTGTCTTCCTTTTCATTCTTTTCACAGGGTCTTCTTTCACAAGACGGAAGTTCTCAAAATTTATTTTATCAATGTATTTTTTATAGATTTTATCATGGGTAAATAAGCTTTATTTAACCCCAACTCACAAAGATTTTCTTCTATGTTTTCTTCTAAAAATGTTGCAATTCCACAATTGTATAAATAGGTCTAAGATCCACTTTTGGTTAATTTTTTAAGGTACAAATATGTGTTACATTTTCTTTTGCAGATGGATGTTCAATTTTCCAGCTCCTTTTATAGAAAAGACTATACTTTCTCCATTGAATTACCTTTCATATTTGTCAAAAATCAATTCACAATATATATGTGTGGTCTGTTTGGAGGTTCTGTTCTGTTTTGTTGGTATGTGTGTCTGTCTTTTCCCCAGTGCCACACTGTCCTGATTACCATAGCTTTAAGGTAAGTTTTGAAGTTAGGTAGTGTGAGCCATCAAAATGTTTCCTTTAAAGAAATGTTTTGACTCTTTTGGCTCCTTTACATTTGCATATATATTTTTTAAATCAACTGTTTGCTATAGACCAAAAAATTCTGCTGATATTTTAATTGTTATTGATTTGAATATATAGATTAGTTTGGGGATAGAACTAGCATCAAAATATTTAGTTTTTAGCCCTAGCATATCATTTATCTTTCCATTTATTTAAGCATTCTCTGATTTTGTTTTGTACTTTTCAGCTTACAGATGCTATACATGTTTAGTTAGATTTATCCTTAAGTAGTCCACTGTTTTTTGATGCTATTGTAAATAGTACTGAAATTTTAAAAATGATTTCCAATTGTTCATTGCTAGGACATAAATATACAATTAACTTTCATATATTAACCTTACAATTCATAACCTTGCTTAGCTTCTTTAGTTTTAGAAGCTTTTTGTATATTTTCTATACAGACAGTTATATCACTTCCAAATAGCTTTATTTCCTCCTTTTCACTTTAAATAACTTTTATTGTTTTCCCCTACCCTAATTCACTGTGTAGGATGTCCACTACAACAGCAAGGAGAAATAATGACAGTGAACATTCCTACCTTGTTTCTGATATTTGAAGGAAAGCATTAAATTGTTTGGGACTATATGTTTGGTTGTTGCTTTTCTGGTAAATACCTTTTTATTAGATTAAGGAAGTTTGCTGAGTTTTTAAAATCATGAATGAATACCAAATTTTGTCAAAAGCTTCTTAGCAACTACTGGGTTTTTCTTCTTTAGTCTTTTAATATGATATTTATTATATGGTTATTCTTCCCTGGCCTGTGAATATGATGGATTATATTGATTGGTTTTGCAAATGTTGAGCCAACCTTGCTTTCCTGAGATCAACCTCACATGGTCATGCTGTATTGTAGCTATATATCACCTTTTTCTTCTTATGGGAGAAAAACCAGTAGACCTGTGCCTTATGGAGGACAGTATGTTGGTAAGAAGAGTGTGGTTCTAGTGTTATTTCTGATCTTTTCTCAATGCAAATTAGAAGACAGATCAGGCTTCCTCCAAACAAAGATGAAATAAGTGGCATGTTCTTTATGCTTTTGCTGTTACTAATATATATTTTAAATCTTTTGTTCATAGAAGTGAAAGTGCATGCTTATAATTTTCCACATATCTGATTTGTGTCTGGACTAATCATAAGACAGGAAAAAACCCATATATTTTCCTCTTAGCATGATAAAGTGCTTTTCTGTGGGGGGCAATAGGGAAGTATCTCAGTAGTAGAACACTTGGTTAGCAGGCACAAACCCCAGGGTTATATCACCAGCACCACAAAAAGGACAAAAAAGATAAGAGCTAAGCTCGACATGATGTCACATGTATAATCCCAGCACTTTGGGAGGCTGGGGTAGGAGGACTGCAAGCTTGAGCCTAGCCTGGGCAACTTGGCTACTTTAAAAGACCCTGTCTGAAAAAAAAAAAAAAGCTGAGAGCTCAGGGTCAGCTATGGAGAAATATTTCGTAATTCTTCAAATAAAACTATGGCATACTTTTAAAACACTGTTTTTATTACTAATCACAGTCATGCTAATAGTAATTTTAAAACTTGCTATCTGTTATAGCTTGTGTCTACATGCATCTTCAAAGTTTCTTGCAGTCATAGTGGGGCTTCTTTAGACGTGGCTGGATCTAGAGTATGTGATGCTGGGATTGATTCATGGTGCAGTGCTAGGCTCAAGGGCACTAGGATTAAGGTGTGAGTGCTACCCACCATAAGTAGCCTGGATAAAAAGGGATAGAAAGAGCTGTTGTCATCCCTTGCTTGTTTTGCTACCTTCCCCCTTACTATGGACTGTTTGTCCTCTGCAGTGCCTGTCTGCCACACTACCCTGCTTAGAGCCAGCTGACTATGGACTGAAATCACTACAAACTGTGAGCCAAAAAAACCTTTCCTCCTTTAACTTTGTCAGGTATTTCATCTCAGCAACAAGAAAAGTAAATAAGACACCATTCTTGATAGTGATGATATCAGTGAGACATTGGCCCAAGTGTTTTACATTTATCAATTTTTTAATAATTTACATCTTTCCTAGTATCAGTGCTGTACTAGATGAGGCAACCGTAGCTCAGAGACCTCAAGCCCACACCACAAGCCCGTATGGGGAACAGGATTCAAGACCCCTGCCCACGGCTGCATGTGGCTGGGTCCAGAGGTGCCATCCACACTGACTTCCATGTGCTCCCTGGGAGGGTGCAGCCTGGAGGCCTTGATGGTCCATCAAAACCAGATCCTGCCCCCATTTACTTCTCCGAGTACACTGCAGTGGAAAAAACTCCAGCTGCTGTGCGCAAGCTTTGAGAGTCAGTTCTGGTGGGCATTGCTAGTGC